GAGCCTGAGAGTTGCATCTCTAACAAGCCCCTAGGTGATGCCAACGCCATGGGGCAGAGAACTGTACTTGGAGAATCACCCGTGAGCAGAGGTTCAGCCCGGAGACTCATCCTGGAGCTCGGGGCGGGCAGCCGGGTCTTCAGGACGGGCCCTGGGAAAGCTGGGCCCCACAGGGCTCATCTAATCTGCTTCCTCTTGTTGTCTCTCCCAGCTGCCCCCCATCGCTGACAAGATCATCTATTCAGCAAACTGGCTCAGCCTCCGCGGCTGTGCCCAAGGAGCTAATAATCTCGGCAAAGCTTCTTGTGGGCACAGAGACCAGCCAGGAGCCGTAACAGGGACACGGAAGTTCAGGGCTGCTGGGAGCCTTGCGAAGACCTTGCCTCAGTCCTGGGGAGTCTGGAGGGCTGCCTGGTGGAGAAGCCAAGGGAGCACCGGGAAGATGGGACACTTAGCTCCGTTAATTGCAGGCTTATTTGCTGTCTAGCGTCAGTTCAGACCTGGAAGTGCAGGCATTTCAACCCTCACAGCACCTCTGAGAAGGGCACAACTGCCGCTGAAGGAGATTTAGATAGTGTGGCCACTTTCCCAGGCTGGGGACACCTGAGCCTCCGACCACAAGGAGGGAGGGGCGGGACATTCCAGAGCACATGCACAGCGCATGCGCGGCAGCCAGCTCGGTCATGGGCTCAGACTGCGTGCAGGCTTTCCTCTGGGGGCTCGCGCCCCGCCATAGACACACACCCCACTCAGCAGAGGAGGGAGGCCGGAGGTGAGGCCGTCCCTGGGCTCCAGCCCCATCTGTCTAAATAGGGCATGAGCCCCGCCGGCTGCCTAGGGGCTCTGAGTGCAGCTGCCCCAGCCTGGGTGGGCACCAGATGTCAGAGGCTGTCGGTCTGGCTGATGTGGCCTCACAGGGCCGTCGGGACCCCAGAGAGCCCAGCCATGAGGGCCTGAGACGCATGTGCAGCCACGGTGGGCTCTGTTTACGGATTTGCTGTGGTGACGGTCAGCCCTGGAGGGAGGCAGAGCCGAGTGCTGAGGGGCAGTGGTGAGCACAACTTCCAGGACTTATGGTGACCTCCACCCTTGGCCCTCGACAGTCTCCGTATGGCTCTGGGGTCCACTGGCCTCATCAACTACATCACAAGACCCCAGGCCAGAGACCACCATCCTTCCGAACTTGCTGCTGGCCTTGCGTGGGATTAGGAAAGCCACTCTGATCCAGAGGATGGAGCCGGAGAAAGTGAGCCCCAGCTAGAGCAAGGAGTACTCTAGTTAGACTGAAGGAAGCCCTGGTCTGGCAGGAAGGAAGCAGCAGCTATTTCTGGAAATATCCTTCTCTCTGTGGCAGTTTACCTGTCCCCTCCATGCTCACTTCTCCTCTCCTCTCCTGCTCACTGCCCCTTCCACTTCCGCCGTTGTCATCCGTGAGGGTGACCTGCTTGTCCAGAGTCATGCGGCCTTGGAACACAGACACGATGCACCCCAGGTGTGCTACCCCTCACCTGCTGTGCCCAGGGCACTTCCAGCCAGACAGAGCAGACAGCTAAACCAGTACCTAATCTGAAACAGAGCCACAGGCACTGGCAGAAGTCAGTGGGGAATAGACAGGCAGAGGCGAGCAAGGAATGGAAGAATCCAGAAATGACAGACAGACTGGTGTGGCTGGAAAGGTGCAGTGAGAAGGGTTTGCTGAGCTTACGGGCAGGTCAGGGTTGGATCTCCAGGCCCTCAATCAGGCTGAATGATTTGCACTTTGTGGTGTGAGCAGTGGGGAGCGATGGAAGGTTTTTGAGAAAGGGATGACACTGTCTGGCCTGAAACCAGAAGGGCTTCTCGATCTTGTGATTGTTCTAGGATCTCACGAAAGTCACCCAGCCTTGACTCTGAGTCCTGAGTCCTGTCAAGACCCCCAACGGGGACAGTCTGTGTCTGTTACACTTGCAGTGAAGTCTGTCCCCGCAGCCCACCTGTGCCACTCCAGAGTCTCCTTTCCTTCCCTTTTTCTTTTTTCCTATTGCACTGGTCTCTTTCTAACACATTTCACCCTTATGCTGCTTATCTGTCCTTACCCCCAACCCCAGTGAGCAAAGACCATGGCTGGGCTCCTGTTTTACTTGCTGAACACCCAGTGCTAGCACTGGGTCTGGGATCCCAATAAACTCATCATCTGTCAGCTAAATCAAGAGGAAAGCACCACCCTGCAGGCACCAGGAGGGTTTGCTTTGCCCCTTCTGTGGCACTCCCCTCCCAGCTTCCAGGGCTTGGCAGCTCCAAGCCTCCTAGTAGGAAAATCTCTGAGAAAATCAGACAGAGCTGTGCTGCTCCCTCCTGTACCTCTCACCCTCGCCAGAAATCTGAGGAGATTTGGACTCTTCCTCCTTCCCTCCCTTGCCAAAACCTCTGCTGCTTTCCTTCATCTCAGAGCGGAGGCCAAGAGAGGAAAATCATACCTAAGGGAGGTTTTGCAGGACAGCGCAGCCTGAAGGAGCCGCTTTGACCGTCCAGGCGAGTGAGTACACCTTACTGAGCACCCGCGGCCAGGCAGGGCATTCTGCTCCAGTTTGACCTCACACTGACCCTATGAGTGGGAGTTCTCCCCCCACCCCTCCCTTTTACAAATGGAAAAATAGACTCAGAGAAGTTGTTGACATTGGCTAAGGTTTTCCTGCCAGAGGAGAAGCCTGGTTTTAAATGCAGGTCTGCCCTACTCCAACCCTGGTCCTTCACGGTACACAGTATACAGGAAGCAGCTGAGAAGGGGATTGAGCGGGCTGAGCTCTCTGTCCAAGGTGCTGATCATCGGTGGTCTGCCAACCCTGGGCTGTACACCCAAGCTAACGGAGCTCAAGTGCGGGCCACCTCCCAGCAGCGAGTGAGGACAATGACTTCACGTCTGCCACCTGGCCTGAACTCACTCATCAGAGTGCTGCGGTTCCTGCCTGTTCTGGGCAATGGCCACGTGTTCTCTCTGCACTCTGATGTGGACAGAGTTGGCTGGGCTCACTGCGCTTGCAGTCCCAGTGGATCCAGCACCCTGTGCCCAGGTCTTCTCAGGACTGGCTATGGTCAGGGAGGCAGAGGAGCCTGGATCAAATCTGAAGCTGTGGGACTTCAGGCCACTGTACTTCCAATCTTAGGAACTTAGTTCACCCACCTCAAGGGTGGAAATTCTTTCTCTGTAAATATTACAAATTCCTTGTTCTTTGCAGGGAAAACAATACATATCCAGTTTCAACCTTCAAGACTCTTAAAGCACAGGTTAGGACATAATCTATTAAATGTGTCATAGGGAGCCATGGATGATTATAGATCAACCGGGTACTACGATCACTATACTGAGCTCTAGGGAAGCTAATCAGGCAGCAGGGGATCACTGGGAGAGAACAGACCTCTGCAATAATTAGAGCTTGCATGTAAAGTGCTTACTGGTTGCTAGAAATTGTTTCAAGTATTTTGAAGATATTAACTTACTGATCCTCACAATGACATGAGGGTACTATTATCCCCATTTTACAGATTAAGAGACTAAAGTATGTAGAGATGACAAAGCTGGCAAAGTTTCAGGCCTGAGCTTTTAACCACTGTTCACTGTTGGTTCTCAGGGCCATCTAGTCTTCCGGGACCAGGGTCTGGCACAGGGCTGGGCAGTGAGCACAGCTGGGGGACACAAGTCAGGTGCTGCCTGGGCACAGGCTGCTTGCTGTCCCAAGGGCCAGGAAATGATAAGGGAGACGTGAATGGCAAACACTCTGCTCTGCACATAGCTAAGATGGCTTTTATCCACAATAGCAACACTCACAATGTTCTTGGCCCACAGCCTTTACAGGATAACTTCTTTCATTTAAGAGAGATTTTAGACACTTTCAAGTCTTATCATAGTTACAGCTTCCACCGATAAGCCTCCTGGACTATGTAGTCCTTTCTCAAAGGTTTATTCATTAACATATTTACTTACATACCTGGGGGAGAAAGCCTTACTGCGATGCTACCCTGTAAATATATATATATATATATATATATATATTTTCTTTTTCTTTTTTTCTTTTTTTGTTTTTTTTCCAGTACCAGGAATCAAACT